GGGAGCGCTGCGGGCCGCGCTCCGCGCGAGCGGGGCTGCTGCCGGGGGGGCGCCACGTGGGGGCTGGGGCCGCTCGGGGCTGCTCACGCGCGCGGGAAGCGGGAAATGCTCCTGCCACGGGTGGGTGCCGGGGCGCGGGCACCCCGCTCCTGCCGCGGGGGTCGCGCCGGGGCTGCGCTGCGCTGCCCTCCCCGCGCAGGAGGCGGGGCCGCCGCCCGGCGCGGAGCTACCCGCGGCCAGCGCGGCGAGCACCGCGTTTGGAGACGGGCGCCGTATAAATAGGGCGGCGCGGGTGGGAGCGCGGCCCGGGCCGGCAGCGGGGGCTCCCGGCGAGGCGCGGAGCGGCTCCGCAGCTCCCGCAGGCGCTGGCATCGCCGCTCCGCGCGAGCACTGCGGGGCGGGCCGGCACGGAGCGGCCGCGCCTCGCTTGGGAGCGGGGGAAGGGAGGAGGAGGAGGCGGGGGGAGGCGGAAGGGCAAGAGGAGCGGCGGGGAGGGGAAGCCTAAAAAGGAGAAGGGGGCTGAGGATAAAGGCGGCGGCGGGGGAGGCGGCGCCGGCAGCAGAGCGCGCGGAGCGGCTGCGCGCGGCTCCCCTCTCCTCTCCGCTCCTCGGCGGCCACGGGCGCGGGGGTGCCGCAGCGCTGAGCGCCTCGCCGCGCCGCAGGGCTCTTCCCGCGCGGCCCCGCGCAGCGGCCGGCGGCCCTAGCGAGGAGCAGCAGCAGGAGGAGGCCGTGGGCAGGGGCGGCTGGCGCCGCCGCCGAGCGCCGCGCCCGCCGGCATGATGCAGATCTGCGACTCGTACAGCCAGAAGTACTCGCTCTTCAACGCCATGAACCGCTTCATCGGCGCCGTCAACAACATGGACCAGACGGTGATGGTGCCGAGCCTGCTGCGCGACGTGCCGCTGCTGCTGGAGGAGCTGGACGCGGCGGGCGGCGTGTGCGCCGAGCGCGACGCGGCGCTGCCGCCGCCGCCCAACGCCGGCGCCTACTTCTCGCGCAGGGACATGTACAGCCACTACATGCTGCTCAAGTCCATCCGCAACGACATCGAGTGGGGCGTGCTGCAGCCGCCGGCGGGCGACGACGCCGCCCGCAAGAAGGACAAGCTGGGCGGCGGCGGCCCCGGCGCGGACATTAGCCGCGGGCTGGCGGCCGACGGCGAGGCCGAGGAGGACCTGGAGGAGCAGTTCCACTACCACCTCAGCGGACTGCACGCCGTGCTCTCCAAGCTCACGCGCAAGGCCAACGTGCTCACCAACCGCTACAAGCAGGAGATCGGCTTCAGCAGCTGGGGCCAGTGAGCGCCGCGCGCGCGCGCCGCGCCGGGGCCCGGGCAGCGCCAGAAGATGGCGGGGGGCGAGCGCGGGGGAGGGGCGCGGCCGAGGCGGGAGCGGCCGTTGGGAGCGTTGGGCGAGCGCGAGGCGCCCGCGGCGCGGGGGCTGCCCGGCCTCCCCGCCGGCGCCAACGCCGTGGTTTGCACTATATTGTAACGACGATGCACGCGCCGCGTGTACATGAAGCGTAAGGTGTCCCCCGCACGCCCCTAGAACTGCAGTTACTTTTTACCAACGCACAAACGGAGGTGTAAATGAATCAGTACTAGTGTATTAATATTTTTTTTTCTCCCTCATTTCCTTTTGTACTGGGGTGAGCGGTTCCCGCGCCTGCCCTCCAAGCGGGGCGAGGCCGGAGCTCGTACGTGTATGAGCCGGTGGTGGTGGCTGGCCAGTATGAGGCTGCGGAGGAGCCAATGAACGTAACAAAACTGGTGTAAAAGTACTCGCATCACCCCGGGACGGAGCCCAGCGGGCATGCCCGTGCCACTGGGAGGATGAAGGGTTTCCCGGTTTTACACGTATGGGGGGTTTTAAATAAACTTTTTTTTTTTAATACTCAGATGTAGAGTATATTCTAAAATAAATGCGAATGTATTGACTAAAAGTGACTTAACTTTTTTTTTGGTATGATTTATGTTTCTTTGATTAAATAATATTTTTAACATCTGAAATCCAGCTGTTCTAAATTATTTCCAGCGCTGCCTTACTAGATAGTAGTTATTGTACGTACCAGAGTTGTATATAGTTCTTTTTTTCTTTATGCAGAGGGAGCAATTAGGGAGTGAGGATAAATCAGCCTATCCAAAGCTGGTAAGTTAGTATATTTAATATACCATACACTGCCCTATTCTTTTTGGTCAGCTCTTTCATAATTTGTAATCCTGCTGCTTTGTGCATATATATATATATGTACACTAGCGTAGAGGTCAGTGCCTCTTTAACAAAATCTGAGAAGACTGGAGTCATGGTTGCTTTGCAGCTAGTGACTCAGGGAGGCTGCAGGGATGACTCTGCTTTTCATGAGATACCTTCATGTAGTAGGGGAGCCCCTCAATAAACGTTTGGGACACTTGCCTTTCCCATTGCTTACATTTAGCTTCTCTGTAATCCTGTTTAGTTACCAGGAATTCACTGAGTTTTACATTATTCAAATTATACTTTTTAAAAAAATTTCCTGTGCATTTTTTTCCATTTGTTGAAGTGCCATGCCTCCAAATTAGTTCTCTGTCATCTGTGGTGTTTCCCTTAAAGGCTTGATCTTGAGTAAAGTTCTAATATTAAAAGTGTATTTGATGATGATGAAATGTGTGCATGTCACAACAGCATAACCACCTAATAAATACATGCTTAATCCTGGTGTAAAATAGTCTTTTCTTAGGCACTGAATTTCTGCATCTGTAGACACTATATACTGAAATTTCACTTTGTGTATATAGGAGATCAAGAGATTTTTTTTTTCTTTGTAAATGCAAAAGTATTTTTTCTGTCAGCTTGAGGGATTTTGTGCTTAAATTTAATGTTCCCTTGATTTTTCAAACCAAATGTTGTAGAGCACAAGCATCCTAGACATAGTACTAGTTAGTGGATTAGTGTGTGGTTGTGCTGAAACAAATAATCAGCCTACATGTATGTTTGAATATATATTTTACAAGGTTTTCCCTTCTAAGGGAAGACAAGTTTTATAAGACTGGGTGATCTTTTTTAACCTTAACAATGACTTGGTTTCATAATGTTTTTCCCCCTCCCCCTCCTTCCTGGGGAGAGGCCAGGAAAAAGCTAGGAACAATAAGAGGGATTACAGTGGTTTCCTAACATGTCAGTGTGCCAGGGTCCCTGGAGCCAGTGTAGCCTGAAAAACACAACGTGGGAGATGCAGGGCTTTATGCAGGATCATGGAGCGGGAGAGGCAGGGCTCTGCACAGCGCAGCCAAGTTTTATGCTGAAAGTGGGCTGAGAGGAAGAACCTGTTCTGCTGTGTTGCTCCCTTCTGCCTCGCTCAGCCAGCTACGAAGTGTATTACTAGCTGGGCTCAGAAGCCCTTATAAAGCCCCAAGCAGAACCAGTGAACTCGGCTTCAGCAGCTGTTACTTTGACTCCCTGGTAACTTTTCCCAGTGCCGATTTGGACAATGTGTTTAAATGTTGCGCCACGGGAATGCGGTTGTGATTCGAACTGTGAGGAGCAGTTTGAGTATAGCGTCCTTTTTGTTTGCAGCCTAAAAAGGCCACATGAATGTTGTGGAAGAGCCGTTCAAAACGCAGGGCTCTTGGGTAGAAAAATGGAATTTCCATGCGAGCGAAGCCGTGGGGGACAGCAGAGTGCCTGGTTACGAGAAAGGGTGATAAAGCAATCGCAGGGCTGGCCCTGTGTCAGTGACGAAGGCGCAGTCCTGGAGCTGCGCGTGGCTCCCACGTGGGTGCCGGGGAATCCTCAGGCAGCCGCAGCGAGACCCTGCTGCCCTGGGAGCAGCCAGTGTGCAAAGGGCCTCCCTCAGCTCCCTCCTGCCGGCTGCCTCAGGCTCTCAGGATCAGGACGGCTCCTGGTGCAGGGGGAAAATACAAGACGAGATGGAGACGCCAAACTTCCTGCTGCTGACTCCACTGTGGAGAACAATTTAGTCTAAAACATGTTAGACGCAAGTACTAGCGCCTGATATTGCAGCAAGCAAAGATGAAACTGCAAAGTCAGGAAACGATGACTTCAGACATTTTAGTAAGTGACTTTCTCTCCAAGCCAAATGCGCACAAAAAGGCAACTTGCAGAACTGCAGAGCCCTATACAAACCTGTGCAGTATGCACAGGTACCAGGGGAAGCACGTGCGATTTTGAGCTGCCTTCAATTGAATCATAGAATCGTTAAGGTTGGAAGGACCTCTAGAGAGGATCTAGTGCAACCCCCCTGCACACGCAGGGTCACCTGGAGCATAAATAAACAAACTGTAAGCAGACATCAGTCACATAATAAATAATGAAATTCAGAACATTTTGCACTTAGAAATTGATTGCAAATGGAAGTATGTTACTGGCAAGAAGCCTCAAGGACACTGCTCACTGAATGCATCTCTTCTTCATATACAAAAATGCCCACGACAAGCCTTTATATATAGTTTGAGTTAACTGGTATTTTTCTGAGCTGGGCTGCCATCTTCCTCCTGCCTTTCTGGAAGCTCTTCCTCGCAGAGGGTTTCGGAGGTGCCCCATAGCCCTGCTGTGGGGTGTGTGCCCCCTCCCTGTCCCCCAAGCTCTTCAGGACCCATTGCACTGAGACTGATGAGTCATTAGCAGCTTAGCTTCACTGAAGGGTGTCCTGCCACTAGCAACCAGAGGGAAGGTTAGATTAAGATCTCATGAAGTTAAACCCTGCACGCTGCTCTTAACAGCAAAAAGTAAACTTTAAGAAAGAAAGGAGGGGAATATTGAAAGCTTTTCCCCTTTGTGCCTGCACGAAATGTCTGCAGAAATTTGTTGCCAGAGACTCACTTCCCTGAAGCACCGAGCATGGGAGGGCACGGTCTGGGAGCAGTGCTTTTTCATTACTTATATCTTGCTAACAACAGGCTTGGTATTATATTCCAGTAGAATGCAAAGATCTAGGATGATAATAAGCATAGTAAGAAAAAAAAAAAAAAAGATATTGGAATATAGCACACCATAAAATCTGGGCAGAGGGCAAGTCAGGTGAGCATTCAAAAGGAGTTCCAGCCCTGTGTGTATTTTTCAGTTATTTGTTGCTATAGCCTCTAAGCAAACAGAAATAGCTAAATGTATTAGCTTTAAAATTGCAAAACCCTTTTTCATCCAGACCACAGGCTTGCATGCCAAGCTTGGGTCGAAGTCACTTCTAAGGATTGAAGTTACAGCCTCCTTTCCAAAAGGAAATTTGCAAATGGGTGCACAGGGATCGTCTACCTTTTTGTTAGTAGCCAACCGCCACAGTCAACACTCTTGGTAAAAAGCAATAGCCCTCATCAAACAAACTCCTACTTATTTAAGCCTGTGTGATGGGATGAGGAAAGCACCTTGGAGTGTTTGTGCTTTTAATTTTCTTCCACGCTTTGTTACTAATAGATGGCACCAAAAAATAATTTAAAAAAAGCCTGGCGAGACGAGGTGGGTAACAGGTGCCTCTGTTAAGTCACGAAGCAGCAAGGGAGCCCAGCTCGCCTCGTGCTGCTTGCAAGATTTGTCCTCATAGTCACCGTATCAACCAAAGCCGCCCTGTTTGCCTGCTGGCCGGTCTCAGCTGCTCCCACAGCTGCTTCCCACTGGAGCTCCTGCAGATGCCGGTCATTGCTGCCCACCCCTCCGGCTGCTCTGCCCTGTCCAGCTCCCGGCCCACCCTGCAGCGGCGGCGATGGAGGCAGGCAGCCCCGGAGCAGCAGGGCCGGCGTCCATCCCCACGTGGTGCTTCCCAGCCCCACGCGCAAGGCGGACGAGTCTGTCGGAGGCCCAGGACGTTGGCACCTGTGGTTCACCCAAACACCTGGAGGGTGACGGATTAAAGGCTGGCGAAGTGAGCGCTCGTCTGCCAGCAAGCAGATGTTGCGCTGCTGGAGCCTGCATAATGACCAAGGTTAGATATGTTATATAGACTACACCCTAGGTCTGTTATATAGACTACACCCTGTTAGCTTTTCCTAAGCCATCTGCGGGGAGCCTGACCAGGCAGCTGCTTTCGCTTATGCCACACTGGTGAAGGGATGCAACTGAGGCAGGAGCTCTGCAAATACAAGGCTGGTTAGAGAGCGTTGACATTTGCAGGTGGCATTTGGCATTTTTGCAAGTGCAGGTTACAAAACTGCCCATTAGGAGTGCGGGACTTAAAAGCAGCCAAAGCCACCCCTCAAAACAATAATCAAGCCTGCTGACCACAAAGGAGCCTGTTCCTGCAATTGTGAGCAGACTACACGGGAGGAAACTAAACCACAGCTTTCCTGGAGCCTAACGCTATTCACTTTGTGCAAAATTATTTTGCTT